TTTCACGTAGTTTACCAAATAAAGTTGGAGTTCTTTGTCCTGATATTTGAAATCCTCTAAAATGTGGCACCAACCTACATTTCCAGCCCTCTCTTCCCTTCTACACCCAATCTTCTGCTCTAGACCAAACCTAGCTGCAAAATCAGAATCACTTGAGCAACATTTTAAAAAAGAAATTCCTCCTGGACCCTATTTCCCAACTGAGTCAGTATCTTGGAGTGAGGAGGGGGCCTGAGTGTCTGAGTTTTTATTCCAATTTATAAAGAGTACCAACCTAATAGAAAAATGGGTGAAGGACACTAAAAACAAAATATAAATGCTGCTCAATTATATGAAAAGGTGTTCAGTCATATTCATAAACAGAGAAATGCCACCCAACACTATACTACAACACCATTTTTCATATACCACATTGGCTAAAATCATTCACAAGTTTGATTATATACTCCATGGACAGTTTTGGAGAAACAGACAGTTATACATTGCTGATGGGACTGCAAAAAGATATACTTGTATAGAGAGAAATCTGTTCTTATCTACCAAAACGAAATACATTTTCCATTTGGTCCAATAATCGTACTTCTACAAATCTACTGTAAAGATATACTCATATACATAGAATGACAAATGTATGAGGCTATTAATTGTGAAATTGTTTATAAAAAATACTGAAGCCAAAACCAGTTTGGCTCAGTGGATAGAGCATCGGCCTGCGGACTGAAAGGTCCCAGGTTAAAAATAAAAAATACTGAAAAAATCCAAGTGTTTATCAACAAGGGGACTAAAATAAACTATGGTAGAATAAATCTCACAATGGCTTAATAAAGAATGTGAAAGATCTCTGTAAATTCAAAAGGAAAGATCTCCCGGAAATATATTTAATTGAAAAAAAGCAGAACAGCATATATAATATACTATATTTTGTATTAAAAGAAGGGGAATATAGGTATTTATATTTATTTGTATTTTCACAAAGACATGCTAAATGAACAAATAAGAAATCATAAAAATACCTATGGGGGCAGGCGTACAGAGTAAAGGGGCCAGAAATCAGTGTAAGACTTATCTGTGTATATCATTTTATGACCTCTGAGTTTGGAATAAAAAAAAATGTATCATTAAAACAATTTAATAAAAACCAATAGAACCTTGATAGAGTCATCAGGTACCAAAAAATTTACTTAGTTTCAAGGCACCTCTCTTAAATCCACCCACTTTTAAAAATTCTGATATTTATAATACCTTCTCTGATGGTGGCACCACATTCTTCAAACACTTCAAGCATTTGACTTATGGGGCACTTTAGACTTCTTGATTATCAGGGGTTGATCTTGACACTGATACACTGGATGCTAGAAGCAGCTGAGGGCAGTGGAATGGGATGACTAAACAAGTTAGGAGACAGCCTCTCTAGCCTCTAGGGCACAGAGTGATTGATAATCAAAGACTGAATAAACAGAGAAGGACAGGGCAGCCAGTGTCTGGAAATCCGCTCACTCACCCAGCCTTGCCTCTCAGCACAGGGTGACAGAGTCTAGAGAAGGCAGCTGCCAGACAGTGTCACCAGTGATGGAAGGAGGAGTTGGGGCAAAGGGTCAATTTTTTTCAGGTACTCCTGAGGGAAAGCAGCATTTCTGCATTTTTATGGATCCTGATGGTTGTGAAACTTGTCCTTAGAGAACAATCCTCTTCAACAGGATCAAAATCAGAGAGTATTTTATGCTGAAATGTATTCTTTTATACTCACTTATAAAAGTTTGGGATTTTTTTTTTTTAGAAATTCTCCTATGAATTACATATTCCATCTTAGATGGACATTTTATTTTATTTTTTAAATATATTTTTATTGATTTCAGAGAGGAAGGGAGAGGGAGAGAGAGATAGAAACATCAATGATGAGAGAGAATCATTGATGGCTGCTTCCTGCACAGCCCCCCACTGGGGATAGGTCCAGTAAAAGCCTGGAAGAGTCCAGAGTGCTTGATTTATTTTTAAGGAAAGTAAAGCCATCTGATAGATTTCCAGCTGAAAATTGGTCAAGGCTGGAGTTTGGTTCACTGAGACCATGAAGCACGCCAATTCCTACTTTCCCATGGCTGACTCCCAGTCTTGGCTGAAAGTACTATGGCCTTTCCTATAAGGGTAACCTGGGACATGACACAAAGACAGAAAGGCCTTCCAGGAATTAAGTGAGGAACAAGATAAAAGCACCCCAAACCACGTCCAAGCTGCCATTCAGTGACAGGCAAACACCCAAATCACAATACCCAACTTCTAATAGGGCAAAAAAGAAAACCTCAGTCCCTCTACAGTTCATATTCAATCCAGATGTCTAGAAAATAGCAGGATTAATGCTAACATTTTGCCAAGGCAGCACCAGATGCTTATAACAGAACCATATAGAGGATGAGGTAGGAGACATAATGATTTTCCCAAACATCCCTCAAATAAGGCATGAGAATTCTTTGTGTGAGAGTTCGTGGTTAACACATTTGACATCGGGAACACCTGGGGAAGAATTTTCATCACCAGCCAGAACCCGTTCCTGCACTGGATTGAATACCTACTTCCTCTCTAGACATCTGGATCGTAATTGAGCTCGCTGGCTCATGCTACTATTTGAAAATCCAGGAAGCAAATGGTTGAATCCTGTTAACCACTGAACATGTGCCTTTGGGGTATTATCACCAGGAGTAGTAATACAGCCTAACCTTGCAGAGCAGTTGTGAGGGTTCACTGTCAACATTCTGTAATTAGCAGAAAACAATTATAAACATTTTTCAATTATAGGTGCTCTACTCCCTATGACAGCTCACTGATCTCCAGATGCCTGCCAGAACCAATGGTGGTGATGATGACCACAATGATAGTGCTCATTATGTGACCATTATTTACATACATTACCTTATTAAATCCTTACCATAGCCTGGAAATACAGATAACTATGTTCTAAGCTGAGAATTAGGAAGTAGCTTGGCCCAAGATGTTCACACAACAAAGAGGTAGTGACTGTGTTTTTGAAATGGTTTGTTTGACTCCACAACTTCTTTTGTGTCTTCTGTTTGTATGCCTGTAGTTTCAGTTAAGGTAAGGACATTGAGTTGTTGTTGTTGTTCCCCCTGCCAAACACACACACACAGCACATCCACAGATAAATCACTGATCCACAATGGTTTAGGGTGGGGACCACTATTTACATACATCACCTTATTAAATCTTTACCATAGCCTGGAAATACAGATAACTATGTTCTAAGCTGGCCCAAGATGTTCACACAACAAAAAGGTAGTGACTGTGTTTTTGAAATGGTTTGTTTGACTCAACTTCTTTTGTGTCTTCTGTTTGTATGCCTGTTGTTTCAGTTAAGGTAAGGACATTGAGTTGTTGTTGTTGTTCCCCCTGCCAAACACACACACACAGCATATCCACAGATAAATCACTGATCCACAATGGTTTAGGGTGGGACATTGGGAAGGATGCTTTTAATTTTCCTTTGGATCTATGTCAAGAGGGGAAGGTGAGCTAATGAAAGAGAATGTATAACTGAAACTTCCTACCTGAATACATTCTAGAGATCTACTGTACAACATGTGCCTAAGGTTAGCAATACTGTACTATGAACTTAAAAATCAGGTCCTGTTTTTACCACAATAAAATATGACTTAGAAAGCTAGACCATATTAAAAACCAAATTGACATTATCATGACATAATTACGACTATGTGTTCAATTATACCAAGTACACAATTATACTAAGTAAGTATACTAAGAAGTATACAATTATACTAAGATCACATGACAGAAAAATCTGTGAGCTAATGTGTTATATGTATTGAAGTTAAATGTTAACTAATGGGGAAAGTCTGTTTTACATCCTTTCAGATGTTTTCAGATGTAATGTATTTTATGAAAAACATACAGAATATACAAATGGTAGAATAGGAAGGATTTTCTTTATAGTTAAATGAAAATAAAAAAGTAGAGAATGCATGTAAGAAAAAGGTTTTTAAAAATAAACCCCCTGCCCTAGCTGGTTTGGCTCAGTGGATAGATTGTCGGTCCTTGGACTGAAGGTTCCAGGGTTGGATTCTGGTCAAGGGCATGTACCTTGGTTGCAGGCTCGATCACTGGCTCACTAAGTAACTAATTGATGTGTCTTTCTCACATCGATGTTTCTCTCTGTATCTCTCCCCCTCCCTTCCACTCTCTCTAAAAAAAAAATCAATGGAAAAATATCCTCAGGTGAGGATTAACTAACTCAATAAAGCTCTAGAGATGTAATAATTAGAGAATAAATGGGTGGGGCAGATTTGGGGCTTCTGACTGAGGCTTAACTACTCACAGTAAGTCTTTCAACGTTCAGGGGAACTGCAATGAGTTAGATCTCAGCTGCCCAATGACACTTCAAGAGTCCCACACGCATCATTAATATGAAAAATTGCAAAAACTCTACATTCAGCCAAATTCTTCTGCTTTCCGAAGGACTTGGGCAGAGTTCAGTCCATATTTCAGTGACTTTTCATTTATCTTAACAGCTTCTTTCAGCCCTGGTTAATTCCCTCCCCAGCCTTGCCAGACTTAAGTAGTTCAAGGGTCTGGCAGGTCCCTATCTGTGAGTGAGTTGCCTGCAGCATGAAGGCTGCAGGAAGATCAGATGACATTATTCACAGGCAAGAAGACTCAGAATCCAGAAGAAAATTTCTGAATACCTTTCTGGTTCTCACCCTGCTGTATACTTCTCTCTTTTTTCTCCACCTTACTGGCTTTCAAACCATGGAGCACATGCGTATTTTTCATTTTAAAGTGCCAAAAACTTAAACCAGAACCATCGGAAATGGTTATGCAAATAAACGTGAGGCACAACTAAACTTTGTTGCCTCAAGGAAAGAGCCCTCTGAATATCTGAAGTTTCCTGTGATTCCCCACCGACCTCTCCCATACAATTTGTCCCATCTTAGCTAAGAGAAAAACAATAACATAATTAAAATGGTTAAGAGAACCTAGCTGGAAGTGGTCGATTTTCATGGTGCTGTTGTTGACAGGGCCAAAGATGGTGATCACAGAGATTTTCCTGGTGGCCATCTTGCAGAAACTTTCCAGATATTCATCTCGCTGTTGCACATACATGTTGTTCTCAACCTTAGGAGCGGTGATCAGCTGGAGGTGGGCGAAGGCAAGCAAATATTAATTCATACTGATAGTTTTACACTGAGGCAAAATCCAAAGGGATGACTTGGAATACAGGGCTGGTAGTGACTGACACCAAAACTAAATTAAACTAAGTTAAGCTAAGCTAAGCTAAACTAAACTAGACTACATGGATTTGTTGGACAGTTAGCATAATTAGGGTCAAAAGACTGTTTGTAAAGGGCTTTTATTTTTAAATGGCTCCAGGAAGCTTAGATTTTTCTCCTCATTTCTACTATTTAGATTCCTTATTAGTGTCCAAGTGTCTTGGTTTTCTCACTTGTGAACTCTGCACAGCAGAACTTATTGTGCAAGGCTGTTGTGGGCACTGCATAAATACTTGGCATGTAAAAACTGCTTGGCAAATCTCCCTTATCCTAATTGGCTGCTCTGGCATTTGTGAATTGAGTGGTTACTACTATTATTTCATGTCTCACAGGGTTGAGAGAGTTTAATAGCCAGGCCTTAGGCACTCTGGAACAATCGATGCCTGATGTCTGCTATGAACACTATCTATTCATCCTTTGCTAACTCATCACTGGGCTCAGAAGTCAGCCTCTATACATGTTCTCCCATTTGACGACATTCAAATATATCAGCCACTTCTCTACTTACCCATCTAACCTTATAAAATAATTCTGAAGTCTGTCATGTGGCATTTCTCATGGGAGAAGTTACCATACTGCAACCTCTTTCAAATTCTTTCTCAAAACGGTTAATATCTGGTTCCAACTTGATCCTGCTGTTTATTTTTCTCTGTGAGATGTTTATTGCTTCCTGTACGCCTTCCCTTCTAAGAATTGTCTATGCTTGACAAAATACTATCCCTCATGGAAATCAAGATGCGTTCAATAACTTTAGAGTGGAACATTAACAAAGGTTTTCTGGGATAAACTTATATCATTTTCTCAGATTGTTATTTATTTTAAGTAGACATGATTTCATTTATTTTTTATTTTGTGTTTATAAGCATGTTCAATTGGATGTGATGGGTAGCATATGCTTGTTTAAAAAATGTAATTTCCCAAAAGGAAAAATAATCAAATTTATTCATTGATTCATACTTAGCCTTAAAACAGACTTAAGGTGGCTATAAAAAGAGACAGTAATGGCATTTTGGGTTTGTTTGTTAGTTTTTAATTAGCTATATGACATCTGAAAATATTTGCGCTGGTGTTTATGGTAGCCCAAATCTTGGAAGTTTTATTTTCAGTTGGGATGTTTTACGTTTTTCTTGCTGGTTATTCTTTGCTCACAAATACACTATTTTGAGATAAATAAAATGAATGTTTAACTGAGAACACAAAAAGTCAAAACAAAGGTAAGATTTACTGGTCATGATTTTGGACTCCCTACCCTAAATGAAGGATAAGCCCATGTTTAGAATATGTTTAGAGGAGTCTCTAGGGCACAGTTGCCCAGAAGCTAAATGACTGATAATTACCTGCCTCTATAATTTCAAATCCATACACAGACTCCACTTTACTCATCTCACACTTTGTCATGGAGCTTTAAAGTCCACGGGCAGACCATGATATGACAGAATTTCAAGAGTCCTCAAAATGCCCTCTGGTCTTCTCCCCCTTGTACCTAAGTGAGAATTTCATACAACATATACAGAACCTCATCCTCCATCTGGAAGTTTCTCCCAGGGATCTGTGAACACTGTAGTCTTAGGCCAATGGATATCCAGTGAGAATCACACTATAATAAACCAGGAGCTCTAATAATGTTTATTTTCACGTTGGGACCTTTGCCCAAGGGTGCTTTAACCCACCTTGAGGTGACATTCATCTTTCATGACTCATTTCCCAGTTTCTGGCACTCAGTGATCTTGCCCTAGGCTCTCTCTTGCTAACCTTTCTTCCTACTCTCCTTTATGTGCCCTCTTCACCCATAGCCAGACCATTCTAAATTACAACATGAAAGAAATCTTGGCAGAGTGACACAGAGAAATGGTGATTATAAGTCAAAGTTGGAGGGTCTGCATTTTAATCCTTATTCAACCTGTGGCGTCCATGTAGTCTTCATAAGGTCATTTAACCTTTTGAACATTACTTAGTTTTCTCATCTTTACAGTGAAACAACTTCCTTGCCAACCTCACAAAATAGTGAGAGGACTGAGCAAAAATAAATAAAAATATGTGTGTAAGGCTGTGTGTGCCTAAGTACCATACATGTATGTCGCCTCTGAATAGTTCACCCACATTCTTTCCTCTGCCTTGGCCTATATTGCCCCTCCCACCCAGAAAACCCTCTGGTCCCCTCCAACTTATCTGATGCTGAGACATTCTTCAAATGCAGCATCCTCCCTAAAGTCTTTTCTATCTCTCGATGATCACTTCTTCCTTTTAATTACTGTTCTTAGAGTCTGCCCTGTCCACTTGGAATTTATGAATTACCTTGGTTTACTATTATATTTTACTAGAGGCCCGGTGCACAAAAATTTGTGCACTCGGGGAGGGCCCTTAGCCAGGCCTATGCCCTCTTGCAGTCTGGGACCCCTCGGAGGATGTCCACCTGCTGGCTTAGGCCAGCTCCCTGGGGGATCAGGCCCAAGCTGGCAGTCAGACATCCCTCTGGCAGCCCGGCAGCCCTCGGGGGATGTCCACTTACCAGCAGGGAGCAGACCTAAGCTGCAGTCGGACATCCTTAGTGCTGCTGAGGAGGCGGGAGAGGCTCCCGCCACCACCGCTGTGCTGGCAGCCATCAGCCTGGCTTGTGGCTGAGCAGAGCCCCCCCTGTGGGAGCGCCCTGACCATCAGGGGGCAGTCCTGCATTGAGCGTCTGCCCCCTGGTAGTCAGTGCATGTCATAGTGACTGGTTGAGCAGCCTTAGCATATCATTAGCATATTACACTTTGATTGGTTGAACATATGACTGGACACTTGTCATATTAGGCTTTTATTATATAGGATGCTTATGGCATTGAAGCCCCAGCCCTTACCACTGCTGTGCCCATGGTTGGTAGGAAAGCAAACTCTGGCCCACGTCCCCCAGGTTACATGGATCATTCCAGCCAGGAGAGGGGAGCCCCTCAGAAACACAGTGGTCCCCTGCCTATGAGTGTCTAGCTGCAGCCCACAACCCAGTTGGTTTAATCTGTTCCTCAAGTTCACATCAGGGAAAGTAGAAGAGGCTGATCATCTGAATATATTTTAAGGTTTCTTTTTCTGTGTTTTGACATCTCCATCCAATTAATTTTCTAGTTTGGCAGGATTTCAAGCAGTACTTAAGATGGTAACCATTTCCAATCCCTTCTTCCTAAAGAAAGCATCCTAGGACTTCTCAGTAAACATTATTGTCTGGTACTTGGCCTCTTTCCAGTTCATTGGCGATAAATCAGGGCATGTCTCATAAATTTAGAACTGTGTTATGGCTCTTTTTCATGTTTCTGTTCCAACAGTGTGTTGGCACAAGGAGCCTCAGAATATAATGAAGCCAGTTTACATTAATAAAGGGAGCAAACAGGAATGGGAAATGCTAGGGGGAAAGCATTTTAAGTCTCAGATTATTCTACATATTGTGTTAGGCTAAAAACACTAGACTTTTATAAAATTCTGGAAAGTAACACTTAAGGTAGTTGTCTGCCTTAGTAAACCAGAGCTTTATATCCTTTTCTAAAATAAAATCAATTAAGTATATTGCTATTCCAATATCCAGATTTCTGAAGTAAGGTTGAAAGTACTAACCCACTTGAATTACCAGAGCTGCTTAAACTTGAACTTGAATCTCTGCAATTCAGCACCATGAGGCCTCTTGTTAATTGACAAGTAGGTAGATTCTTGGCACAAAATGATGGTTTGTCAACTATACTCTACATAGTCCAATGTTTAAGTGATAAACAGCTTATCTATAGTCTCACCATTGTCACCCCCACACTGACATCAGCCAGTCTGAGGGATTAGGTTAACTGGGATTCAATCTATTGTTCTTGACTGACTGCCGGGGAAGCCAGCGAGTTGAAGTGCAGAGAATTAGCTGGGTATTCCAGGCAGAAACTCTACATTGGTGCGAAGCACCAATGTTGACAACTGGTATGGCTTACCATTTATCTGAGTAATTTAAAAGTGTTAAATGAATTTTTAAATATCTGTGTTGACTAATTAACAGGGAAGTTTCCCCTTCACTTTATGGCATATGCCCATATTCACTCCACAGGAATGGGGGAGTGGCTTGAGCATGAGCTTTAAAATCAGACATACCTGAGTTTTAATTCTGGCTTTGCGGTATATTAACTGTTCACCTTGGGAGCCTCAACCTCTCTAAGCTTCTGTTTCATTGTCTGTAAAATGGAGTTAAGTCTTTCTTAAAGGGGTTGTCGTGAAAATTAAACCACACAGTCTCAAATAGCTCCTGGCAGGATGTGCCCTTTTTCTTTGACAGACTGAGAGGCAAGGGGGGTTGAAGAAATGACCTCATGCCCAAGAAGAGGATGCCTGGGTCCCCCTGTAGCTCCTTTGAAGGCTTCTAGGATGCTGTTCACCCAGCCACAACCTACACCATTGCTGCCAGTGTTTCCCTAACTAATCGCTTAAGTAGAGGTTAGGTGACGTTTTCACATCTAAAGAATGATATTAATAAATGCAAAGCATTGGAGGTTTGTGATAAATTGTAACAGGGTACCAGGTTACCGAAACGTTGGGAAGATAAGCTCAAAGACCAGCACAGTTTCTTAGAATTCAAACCTCATTTAAGTTTGAGCTCACTTGTGAGACTGAGGCCAGTTAGAGGTATATGTTGTCAGCTGTACTTGAACAAAACGCAAAGCCTTAATGAATATTAATTGAATCCCCAGCTTCTTGAATAACATCAGCCATGTTAGATGGGGAAAATGGGTGGAAAAACAATCAATGGCACCAACTAGGTCTTTCACCCAGAAACGCAAGTCTCCTCTCTGTCTAGTCAAACAGTCTTTTCTCTCCATCTTTCGATATTGCATCATGTTTATTTCATCTTGTCTTTTCTAATCCATTCTTATTATAGATGTCATTAGCTATTTAGAAAACACAGTTCTGATACAGTCATCAGCTGAGCACACGGAGATTGCAAGACTAAAATGCCTCTTGTTGGGGCTTTCTGTGTAATAACAAACCCAGGCCTCTCACCAGCCACCAAGAGCAACGTTGCCATGAGCAATCCCAGCTGGTTTCTGTTTTGCCTCAGATGACATCAGCAGAAGCTGTCATCTGAGTTTCATTTGCTAGAAATTTATGATCAGGGATACCGTTAAAAGCAGAAAAGACCCAGCTGGGCTTTCAAATCTCTGACTAAGGGAGTGGAGAAAAGGGAGGGAAATAAAAGGCATGACTAATACTAGGGATATGTATAAAAACCCCTTTCTTTTGACTCATAAACTAGCGGTAATGGAAGTATTTACCCATAGGTGCACAATTGCAATCCTGACAGTTTACCCATGATTATTTTCGCCTGGTTAAAACCTGACCATGAGGAACACTTTGCCCTGTTGGCTAAATGGCAGGATTGGGTGATGTGCTTTAGCAGGCTGGACAAAGTCCCAGCTACTCAGGACAAGGGCAACAGAGCACACCACTAATGCTTTCTCTCAGCCCAAAGAGAGTAGTTTTTCCCCCATGGGTTCTCTAGCAAACATTCAAGTACCAGATAGGGTTCTACTCTGAAATCAGTGTTCTTTTGGTTCTACTGGAACATTCCCATTTAAATTTATATACTCTGGGAATAACCAAGTAGCTGTTAAACTATTCTGGCAACCTATCCTCTGCTACCCTTAGTTTATATAGTTACTTTAAGTCTCTGCTTAAAACGAGTAACAACATACATACAAAAAAATAACACACACACACACACACACACACACACACACACACAACCTGTAGAATCAATAAAAACTTGGGTTTTGTTCTAACACATAAATACACTATTGATGGGACAGCTAAGAGGATTTAGGGACATGCCCTGCCCATGATAAATACCACAAGGGACTCTGCTCTAAATTGCACTTCAAATGCACATTTAAACTTTTGAAACCACTAAAGATAGATGGGTGCCAGAGTCTCTCTGGCTCAGATCATTAATCACAATTTAGGCCAGATTGGAAAAAAACCCTTAAAAGCCCTCTGAGGAATGCCCTGAGAGAAGGATGCCTAGCTTGTTTGGTGTGGAAAATGCAGGGTGTGGAGTCACTTTGTGCCTTCAGTAGGATAGATGATGTTCTCAGTGCCATGAGATGGTGCCCTGACACCCAGGTATCTGAGGGAATCATTCTTGATGCATAACACCCAACATTAATTCCTGATCTTTTTCTCTAAAGTAATTGTATAGTACTCTTTTCCTCTTTGACAGCCTGGAGTAGAATGACAGCATTAAGAAGCTAGGGGCAAAATCATGGAAGGGCACTAGAAGAGTGGATAAGGAAACTTGGAGAGGAGAAGAAATCATGTTCCCTTTGCTGATGAGAAATGCCCTTACCTTTAGGATGGGGCTAATTCCTGTCCAACGCCCTTTTTCTGGGGTTTGACAAAATGCTGTTGGTATTCTTTGGATGGTGGCAAGTAATGGTCAACTAGATAGCTACTGAGATATAACTGTGACTCACTCAATCCTAATGTCACTCAGAAAAAGAGACAACATAAAAGTAAGGACTTCTTGTCTCCTTTCTTACACACACACACACACACACACACACACACACACACACACATGTTCATGCTCATTTTATAGAATCTCAGTAACTGACATCTGGACTCCACGTTCAGATGTGTCTTTAGGGTATTGGAAATTAGAACAATTAATCCAGCTCCTCACACTCCATCCTTTTGGCCTCTTACTGGTTGGGCAGTGATGGAAGAGACAGCCTTTAAGGGATGAACATTTCAGACAGCTGATTTAAAAGCATTCATGAGGGTCACACCAAAAAGGGCCCCTCCCCACTCCCAGTCACACCTACTCTCCACTGAGGCTGCCTTACTTTCCCCTTTGAGTTTTCCAATTCTTGATATAGACCTAATAAGGGAGGGTGGAGAGTGGGGGGAGGAGAAACCTTGTTTATTTCCCCATACCGATGGTTCTGGTTTCTCAGATCATGAAGAGAGAAACCCTTTTCCTAAGTTGTGACCAGAGTCAGTGCATACCATTTTAGGAACTTCTTCATTCTGTTGTTATTCATTGAACTTAGTAAAATGGAGCTGTATCCAGAACTATCCCTTGGAAGAGAGGAGTAGAGATGGGGGATGGGGACTGAGGGGTTTGGGGGAAGCCGGCCACAGGTGCTTCCCTGGGTTCATGTCTAAGGTCCCCTGGACAAAGACTCTGAGTCTGTGTGAGAAAGGTTCACAGCCCTTCCCTGACACACCTCCGGATCAGTTATATCTCCACACCGCACAGGGTCAGCCAGGGCCTGCCCTCCGACACTGTGATTTCAGAAAAGCAACACACCAACCGCGCAGCCCCCAGAGCAATGCCAAGGAGAAGGTTACTTACCAGGAGCCTTCGCTTGCCTTCGAAGGAGCCCAGCAGGTCGGCCACCAGCTTCTTGGGACTCGGCGCGAAGTCCTTGGTGGTGGGTTTCAGGGAGCCGTCCTGCTCGGCGGGGCCCGCCTTCTTCTTCTTGCTCTTCTCCTTCTCCGGCCGGCTCTTCTTCTCCGCCTTGTCCTTCTTCGCTTGCTTTTCACTCTTGAGCAACTTGTCTGCCTTCTCACTCTTGGCCTTTTTCTTCTTCTCCTTCTCGGGTTTCTCCAGCTTCTCGTGCTTCTTGGACTCCTTCGCTTTCTGCGGGGGGACATTCCCCACCTGCAACTCCTCCTCCAGCTGCGAGGCCGTGGGCCGGCTGGGGTCATACTTGTCCTCGTACTCATTGCTGAGGATTTTGTCTTGGGCTTTCTTTTTGGGGGGCTTCCCCTTGGCTGGCTTGTGAGGACCTGGCCCCACGGGGGGGTCCCGGTGGCCGTGCTCCCGC